GAGGTTTGGTGCGGCATCCAAAAATAATGCCGACCGGACAAAAGTCATCCTCTTCCCGCGCCGCCAGCTGCTCTACAGCTCCTGCGGGCCGCGCGGGGGAAATAGAGCGGGATCGAGGAGCGGGTAAACAAACTGGGGTCACGGAGCTGCTTAATGACATATGTCGCCGCCACGAATAGACTTGACGCGAGAGTCCTCTCCGAAGAGGGGAAGAAGAGAGTGCAGTGAGAGAGAGCGAGCGGGCGTGGCGTGTGGGCGTGCGCGGTGTGCGTCACGCCCGACGAAAAGGAGACCGGCGGCGTGGTGGTATGGTTGGAGTGTGCGGACCCGGGCCCGGCCCAGGGTGGCCAACATGGCGGCCGCCAACAGCGTCCCTGTTCTCGGAAGGAAACGATCCGAGAAGTTATTATCCAGCGGGGCCAACATGGTATCGCCGACATTATGCGAAAGCGACGGACGGACACGGACGGACGCACGCACGCGTCGTCGCTGGAACGGGACGCTGGACGGGACGCGCTCGGCGCGAGGGACTTCCCGGAGACGGAGCGGAGGCGTGGCCGCCGTCACCTCAAACGACGCACACCACCCCTGACCGAAGGGGGTATTTAACAACCTCGAATATTAGTGTGGTGCATGCTCATCCTCATCGCGCTGTTTCATTTCGGTAACTTGCAGGCGATTTTTCTGTTAGCTTTGAAACACCCTTTTTGCATTATTTTAGGCTTTTTGAATATCGCACGCTTTACTACTTCGCGTAAAAATTGGATCAGGTCAGAAAATTAAAGACTTATTCCCCCCTCGTGGGCTCCTACACAGAATCGAGCGATGCCGTCACGGGATTAGCACGGCGGCCGGGGATGGACTTTATCCCATTTTATATGCCAATCTCCTCGGACTGCTCCCCTCCCCCTTCCCTTTTTCCGGTTTACTCCCGCCACCCCTCACACCCTCTTCACCCTCTAGAGCTCCCGTCCCCATCATCGCCCCCACCCCTCCCACCCCTTGGCCCGCTGCCCTGGACCTCGCGAGGCCCTTGACCTCCATACGATCAAACGCGACACTCCACTCACCCCCCTCCCCCTTTTAGGTTCGCTAATTCTGAGAGCCAGCGAGAAGAGCGAGAGGCCCGCGCGAGCAGAGCAAAGGAGAGGCTTGTTCTGGGTACAGCAATTCGCTTAGAATATCAAGTCTCTCCTTCTCTCTCTCGCTCTCCTTGTATCTCTTTCTAGTATCTCTCGCGCACAGCACACGCATGCTGGGCAGTGTGGGTGCGGGAGGGGGGAGAGGAGGAGGCACACGCACTGCTCGCCATGACGTCATGGTAGGTCCGCGAAACAGAGGAGTGGAACGGGGGGAGAGAGAAGAGGGGCGAGGGGATGTGAAGAATGTGTGTGTGTGCGTGCGTGTGTGTGTGTGCATCCAGCGGCCCGCGAAAGCAGAGCGAAGCAGGGTGGTAAACAAAACACAATAACAGGCTGTTCTCGGCTCCCCCCTCGCCGCGG